ACACACACACACACACACAATAACACACACAAGACATTCATTATACATTAAGTAAACATGAAATATATGTAGATAGCCGGACTACATACAAAACAGTATATCACAAGCGATGCTGCACATAACAAGATACAAACATTTTACATTTTACATATAAGAAATTAGCGAAAAAGTAAAGTAAATTTATAAGTGGAGAAACTAGTCAAAAATGGAATCCCAGGTTCTCCACTCTGTAAGAAAATGGCCTAATTGAAGATTTTTTTGAGAAACATATTTTTCTAATTCGAATTTTGATTTGATATATAAGAGAAGGGAAGGTAAGGTCGGCTGCATTTTTCTTTTAAAACAGGTATATATATAAAATTTGGAGACAAGAATAATGTAATTTAGAGGCTTGAAATTTGTTTTGGATACTCCAAAAAGTATATTTTCATCATAGAGTGTAATTCTTTCATCAGTTTTGTTAGCAATCAAGCGTTCCATTTCAGTCCAAATGTTTCTTATTCGACAACAATTTAAAAATACATGTCGCAAATCTTCCCTCTCCGCTCCACAGATAAAGCGTTTCTCTGACACCTCAATACCGAATCTTTTCAGGTATGACCTAACTGGTAAGATTCTAAAAATTATTCTGAAGTTTTTTTCTCTCGTGTAACATAGAAACAATTCTCGTAAACATACTTCCAAGTGATATTTATATTTAGATCTAGGTTCCATTTCCTTTCGTGTACCAAGTTTTCAGGAGTTTCACTCATGAGAACCTGATAGAAATCTTTACACCCATTTCGACTCTTTATAAGTAGCTGAACCGACTGAGGAATATAAGGAAATAAAATTTCCTCAAAAATTTCTTCATTGTTCTTTTCTTTTAGCCTACATTTTAAACTGTTACGTATTCCAAAAAAATTTAGATCACATACTCTTTGAAATCCAAATTTCCTTTCCAGTTCAGCTTTGGTTAAAAATTTTCCTTCGTTGAAAAGATCGCCAATTATTCTTATACCCTTATTGTACCATTTTTTGTCCAATATTGATACCCCACCCAATTTTACTTTACTATTATACCACAGAGGTTCAAGAGCAATATTGCTATTCATGTCTTCTATACCGTATGTTAAAACTTTCCAGGAAATAATGACATCTCTCCAAAACCTGTTATTGCAATTGCGTAAGAGCATATCTAAATAATCATTTCCATAGTCAAGTATATTCCAAATAGATTGTAAATCAAAGGTGCTCTGGAGAATAGTGTTATAAACGTTATTTTTAAGGTATAGTCTTCTTATCCATGTACATTTTAATGCCGTTATGAATTTACTTAAGTCTGTCATTTTTAGACCACCATATTCATAATCATTTACTATCTGACCTCTCTTTACCTTATCAATTTTGCTACCCCAATGAATTGGAAAAAAATGGAATTTAGTTTTTTGATGAATACTGGATCTGGATTTGGCAGAGAAATGAAAAGATGGTTCAGCATTGGGATGATAAGGGTTTTTAAGATAGTAATTCTACCAATAGGGGTACGTATTCTTCTATTCCAATGCCGAATCATACCCTCTATCTTCGGGATTTGTTTATCAAAGTTTAAAGTGACCATATCGTTTAAATTTACCGATAATTCTATACCTAAGAGATTAAATTGAGTCGAACCCCAATCAAGTTTCCATCTAACGTGATGAAAAACTTCCCGACTATATTTTCTTGAGCCAATCCACACAGGTTTAGTCTTACTATTGTTGATATGGAGACCTGAAATTTTTGAGAAATAGTCTAATGTACGGAAAGATTCTAAGAAAGAAGACCTATTACCATCTTATATAAGGGTGGTGTCATCAGCATACTGGGTTATTTTAAATTCGGTGTCACCAAGTTTTATTCCGCAAATATCTTTATTATTCTTTATCATGATTGCGAGAATCTCAGCTCAAAGCAGAAAGATATAGGGAGACAAGGGGTCCCCTTGACGACAGCCCCTCGAAATTTTGAAAGGCTCCGACAAGTGGCCGTTTTGTGTAACAGAGGCCTTGCTATCGTAATTAAGGATATGAAACCACCTTTTTATAGTTTCCCCAAAATTAAAAAAGTCTAAAACTTTATCAATAAAGCCCCAATCTACAGAATCAAAAGCCTTTTCAAAATCGATAAGAATTAGTAAAGCAGGAATATTTTTCTTTTCTGCGATATGCATTAGATCATAAATTAATCTTGCAATAAACCCGGACTGAGAATTAGAAATAATTTTATCAAGATAGAGTTTCATTCTTTCCGCTATACAGCCCGAGATCATCTTGTAAATAACATTTAAAAGGGTTATAGGCCTCCAATTTTTTATAAATTTTCTGGTTTTATCGGCTTTTGGAATACAGGTTATAATCCCAAGATTTTGACTCGCCATCATTTTCTCATTGATGAAAATTTCATTAACTGCTCTAATTATAAAACTATGTAAATCATTCCAAAAAAAAATTATAAAACTCTGCAGTAAAGCCATCAGATCCAGGCGATTTGTTATTTTTCATTTTTTTCAGCACCCTCAAAAGTTCCTTTGAGGTAATTTCGGTTTGTAAATATTTCTTATCAGGCTCGCTTAATTTGGGGACATCTAAATTTGCAAAAATTAATTCTAGGTCTACCTCTTCTAATTGATTAATTTTTGCCGAGTAAAGGCCTTCGTAAAATAACTTTGCTTCATTTAGTATAAGTTTTTGATCAAATATTGTTGTTCCGTCCGGTAGTTCTAAATTCTGAATAGTTTTATTGACATAATTTCTGGATTCAAGTGAACAGAAATATTTAGTAGGCTTCTCTCCTTCCTCCATCCATCTGCATTTTGCTCGGACGAGGACTCCTTTTAGTTTTTCTTGTCTGATATTTTTCAACGCCTCCCTCTTAGCCTCAAGTTCGTCCAAAGAATTTTCATTTGGGTGGTTCATTTCCATTACATTAATTTCTCTTTCTAGTTCTAATTCTTGCCTGTCCCTTTGTTTTTTCTTGAAAGAGGAATGGGAAATTGTCATTCCTCTAATTTCCATTAAAAGCATTTCTAAAAATAAGGAGTCATCAATCGTGAAAGATATTTGTTCGTTTGGAATTTCTGTAATATTTTCTTCGGCGTACACTGGAACTGCATATTGTACTTTTGTTCTCTTAATTATGTCCTTCACTTTACTCACATATTCCTCATCTTTTAAGAGGGAACTGTTAAAAACCCAAGTGCCTTTGCCCTTAATAAATTTATTAAGCTTTAATTCTAAAATTACGGGTGAATGATCAGATCGGTATGATGCTTTAATAAAAATATTAGAAACTGAATTTTGAAGGTAATCCGCAATTAAAAAGAAATCTAGTCTAGCCTGCCTTCTGGGATTCCTTCTTCTCCATGTGAATCTCCTCTCGTCTGGGACCCGGGTTAAGTTGACCCCCCATCAAGTCTTTTTAATAAAGTTACTTTAAGATGCTAAAATCTTTTATTTGGACTCACTGTCGACGCTTTCTTAGCACTATTGGATACGATCACTTTACAAGATGATGTGATCAATTCTTTTACCCCATAGTTACTTTGTTATAAATTGATGGGGGGGGGGGGGGCAACTTACCCCGGGGTCCAACTAGCCCCGGTTTCCCTATACTGTACATGCCGGTGACAACATGATGCCTAGAGACGGCGGGATATGAGAACATCCTACCTCGCTTTGTTCTGGTATTGTACATGGCAGTGATAACAACACGCTACCGAGACGGTGGATTATGGGGACATCCTCCCTCAGTCTGTGTCCACATGTTTAAATCTAACTGCAATATATTTAATAATAAAATACCTTCTTAGATTAATCTTCAGGACGAATAACGATAGCGTCTTGTGACGTCAAAGTAGGGTCTTCATCGAAATAATTAAGTGGCGCGAGGACCACAGAGAGCTGTTTTCCTGGTGTTGTGGTTACAGGGATGTCCTCCATGACAGGGATATGTTGAAGACCGAGAGAGACCCAGGCCACGAGGTCCCGATCCACGATATTCTCGTTATCGCTGTAAAACTTCTCAAACTTTCGGACAGGACAGTAGGGCTCCGCTTGTCCGTAGAGCGAAGCTGTGGTATCTTCGTTATCTTTGAATTTCGTAACAGCAACCTGATAACGTGACCACGAAAAACCATTCTCTGCCTGCCACCCCTCAGGTAGCAACTGCTTAGAGAAACTGTTTGAGAAGATACGATAGCCCTTTGGATAGCCGACCGAGTTGTACGCTTTCTGGTTACATATGACGTAGTATTTTGGTTCTTCAAATATATAACTCACCAGAGCTTCCTTCTCTGTCTTGCGCAGAGTTCGATTCATTTTGGTCTGATACCACCGTTTTCCCGGAGCCAGTGGATTGGTTCTGTTCTCCAGTGTGATATCCCAGGTCTCAAAACGGTTCAGCTGCCCGCGTATATCGAGATCAAATTTGAAATTGAACAGGTGGTGGTGTAAGTTGGCCAAAATACCGAATTCTCGATTGATGAAATTTCCATATGGCGACTCCGCTTCGCCAGGCGACCAGTTCCACGGCTGCACGTAGCCAGTAGCGGCCACCCTGGTCTCCATCACACCGTTAGGGTGAAACACAAAGTCAAATATATAATCATAGTTCCATAAAGTTGGTATCCCACGTAGTATCATAACAGATCCGGGCATGTTGTACTTATACAGATATTTTGGGTTGTCAGAACCGTAGAAATTAACGGACGTGTGCCGGCTGATGGGCAGGGCGGTGTTGTGTTCAAACAGGCAGAGGGCATCGTGGAAAACCTGTGCGGTTCCTGTGCCGGAGTCAAAAAATGTGTTGTTGAAATAAAGTGCATTGTCGGGGCAATCGTAGCCCCTAAGAAGCGGTCGGTGGCGTGCTCCGATGGACCATGACGCGTCGTGCAGATTGGCCTGTAGACCTTCCGGCTCCTTCCCGGAGTACAGCACAATAATATCCGCCATGCTTACCTCGTACGCAATCCTCTCATCCTTGTACCGCATATCCATTACCTAGTGGAACAATATATTTCACTCCATGTTAAACATTTGTATTCAAGGGCTGCATTTACAAAAGAAGACAGTTTACGCATAAACTTCTACTGGTTCAACACAAGAAGCAGACCGATATAAAAACAAAACGTTTTCACAACTGCTGAAAAAAAAACACAGAGAAATGGCATTAAAGTAAGTGATAAATGACATAAAATAAATAACCAAGGCACACCTACCTGAAGCCCCGTAACAGCTCTCAGTCTGAAGTTAAACTCCCAATCCAGGTATTTCACCTTCTGTCCATCCACAGTGAACCGCCTTCCGTCTGGCTCGGTTTGCTTGGGTAGTTTCTTCCAGTTAGCCTCTCTCTCTCCTCGAAGGTCGGGAGACCCATACGTGGGTCCTGTCGGAGGATATCCGTAGACGCGTTTCTTGATGCTGCCGTTGTTGTAAGCAATCAGTAACTCTTGGGCAGTGTGGAATGAATTTTCTTCATAATAAAGTTTAGTGAGCTTAAACTTGGACGGGTCGTTACCATTACAATTAACTAAAAGAGCAAGAGACATAGGCCACAGATAGTAGCCGTCTAATTTAGCACGGAATCCCCGTACGTACATTTGCCTGTCCCCTGCAACAAGACCCTTGGCAGCATATACGAAGAAAATACATCTGTCAGTACAGTTGTGGTACCAATAACCGTATGTCGCTTTAAGTACAGGGTATAGAGTTAGCATCACCGGGCCAACTAGCCTTTTATCTATTTCATTAGTTTCTGGGTCGGTGTCAGGTCTAGAGTTCCAGGGAATGGGGCCAGGCCGTTGTACTGGGTTGATATACCGCGTGTAACCACTCACTTTAGGGATTGGGAACACAAGAAATTCTTCAACTCGTGGAGTTGTTTTTTCCCCCATAAAGCAAGTCACGCGTGCTGAACGCACGGGCAAAGTGTGGTCACTGTCTAAGTGTTCTAATACATCCTTTTTACTGGGCAAGACGGACTCTATTAGATATATATAGTTAGACGACACAGTGGCCTGGTCAATTGGCACTAGATTCAGTTCTGGTTGGTTAAACATGAAATTTCGTATTTCTATGATTTCTTCCTCCGTGAGAGTGTCAAATACTGATTTTGTTGGAGTTGTCGGAGACTTATAGGTGGATACAACCTTTGTTTCTTCCTGCTGTGTCTTCCCTCTCGCAGATTCTGCCACCAATTCTTTCAGTTGAATTGTTAATACAGTTACAGCAATAAGTAACGCAATGCTGACGATGGAGAGTAACACTGTGCATCCTTTCCATAAACCGGAACTCTTCATTGCGAGTTAATTTTGACCTGGAATAGGGAAATATTTGGATTATTACAGAAAAATAACAACGGACATTATTTAAAAACGAGTGTGGTTAATTAGGATGGTATGCTTGTCACTCTCAGATTCCTTTCCAATCCGTGCGAGTTTCTTTATTTTTAAATATGCACATTTATCAAACCGTGTCTTAAAATTAAGAGTGCATTCAAAACAAAAGACTGCTGACTAACTGCTCGGTTGACTAAATATGGCCGACCCCACTTAAAAGCAAGCCTTTTAATGTTTTATGGTCTGCCCGCCTCGACACGTACGTTCCATTTTACGAATTAAAGCTTGGGTCCGAAGTTTCATATGCTCTGTCCCTGCAGCGACGGCGTGTGTAGAGGCAGTAAAACCTGCAGGAGGCCAGCGGTATCGCTTGTCCATATCTGTTAGCCGGCGGATTAACTTGCTCTGTTTACCATGACTCCATAAAAGAAGTTGTGATGTAGATTTTAGCTCTCACTGGCACTGTAACCCACCTCCACACACAAACACACACACACACACACACACACACACACACACACTCGAAAAGCCGGAATAGTAGTACTGTATGTAGGCATGGGAGTGATAAAATAAGCTAAAACACATAATGACATTGTACTCTAAAACAGAAAAGAAGAATGCAATGATTAAAATATTAAATCAATCAAATTCTTGAAAGTAATTACTGCCATTATTAAAAATAGTTCAATGCAACGAAGTTTATACATTACAATTCGGGTATTTTGATTTTTAAAAATTTGCAGATCTGGGAGTTTTGAGTTTTGGAATATATATATTTTTGAGTGTGTCATAGTATATGTGAGTGTTCTTCAGTTTATGAATGCTTTTTATGAAACAATTGAACCTTCTGGAAATTCATTGGGCCGAAACTCCCGTCTTGTATCAAGTGTTTGGTAAAAGAAGCAGCAAAGCTGTCGAAGGCACACACAAAAGGGAGAAAATAATAATGTACAATATAGGCCACTGTCAATTCTGATGCAATACATTATGCTTAACTGCAACGTCAACATCAAAATTTTAATTATGTACAGCAGCCAATATCGATGTAATGGGTAACAATCATAAGGCTTCAGGTCAATGAGAGTTCAAGTTCACCCTTTGAAAACGCCAAATTGAGAAAAATTAAAATTTCACAAAATTTGCATAATTCAATAAAAATGATGATCCAATAGAGCTTGTTTTATACTTTGAGCTTTATGCCAATCTTAAGAATCAAACTTGTAAGTTAAAAAAAATAATTAACACAGTTTTCTTTTCATAACATTCGCACTGGCAGAGCAGAAAGTAGTTTTTTGGTCAACTTTGTTGCAATGTAACATAATAATTTACGTTATAATTACTACCAATTTTAATTATCTTCTTTAAATAACATGGGCATTTAGAAATTTTGATTTCCTTTTAAGTTCATGCCACAAAAATAATGCCAATATGTGAAAATGAAAATTTCACAAAAATAACTTCCAGACAAAGAAGCCAATTAGACTGCTTCTCTAACTCAGGTTGCATTTTAGTCTTATGTTTCTTTCCTGCGAGTTTAAGAATCGTAAGTAACATGGTTTTCCCCTGAATGGTCATTATTGCAGTGTCCAAAATAGGGGTTTCTTCAGTTTTGATGCGATATTACATTATGTTTAACAGCATATTGACTATCAATATTTAATGATAAAATAAAATTATCATAGTTATTCAGAAAACGTGATTAGCAAAGGTCTTCTAGTCCATGTAGTTTCAAAGTTACATCTTGAAAATTCCAATAGGCCTATGCAAAAATTAAATCTTTACAAAATATGTATAACTTCCAAAAAGGTAAACCAATCAGACTGGTTTTCCAGTGAAGCTGTATTAGTTCTAGGTTTCTTTCCTGTAAGTCTGATAGGAGTGAGTGACACTGTTTTCCTTTAATGGTCACTTTGTCGGCAGTGCTCAAAATAGGGTTGTCTTCAATTTTGATGCAATATTATATAAGTAGTAACAGCATGATCACCATCCTTAATTATGCGCTGCAGGTATTGTGAATATTTAGAAAATGTGACTAGCAAAGGTCTTCAGGCCCATAGAAGTTTAAAGTCACACCTCGAAAACGTCAACATACATGTACACAAACGATAACTGTACTGAAATGAGATTATTTCCATTTTAAACACCTTTACATAAAACAGAATAATAAATTTACTTTCATTTTAATATGATCATCCAAGAAAATTGTTGAGATGGGATAGGTATCGATAGAACAATTTTAAATGTCCAATTTGCTCCATTTTGAGATTCTGGAGATAGTGAATTGAATCTAATATACTGCATTGAAGAGTTTATTGCCATTTTTGACAGTATATTACACAATGCACGATAACAGGTTTAACATCATTTTCATTATTAGATCAATGAAAAATATTGTTAAGATGCAGGACATGTCAAGAGAACATGCACTTTAACGTATCTTATTCGTTCAATATTGAGACTGTTAACGTGCCTTAGAATTGAATCTAAAGAAAAACCACTTATTTACAAAAAAAAAAAAAAAAAAAAAAACTGAACTGAACTGATCAAGCTTATTTTCGAACTTGATCTGTATATCTGTAACAATCAGTCCTACAGCTCTTAAAGCACAATATGACATGGTTTTCATGTCATCTGTAAATTGGTGGATAAAATATGATGAAAATGGGAAAATAACAGCATATCTTTTGTAAAAATGGTACGATCAAGCTGATTTTCGAACTAGACCTGTATTTTAGTAAGATTGATCACTCCTTCAGTTTCAAGCCAATATGTTTAACGGTTTCCTGTGCTTCCAGTGTTGCATGTATGCTGAAAAAAGGGGAAAAAACATAACTTTCGAAAAATGACCCGATTTTTCGAAATCGACCTGTATTTTATGAATATTCATCAGTTCCGTGCATGTACGTTTGAAGACAAAAGGTAAAATGGCTTTCAACTTATCGTGTTATCGCTCAAATTGCACGGCGGCGACGACAGACGCAGATGTGACAGCTCTATAATAGAATCATTTGTGTCTCTACATAAAAATGTGTCCCTCTCACTTGTGTACAGAAGATGTTGGGCCGTTCCAATGGTCCCGGTAGACAATGTGATGTGCTAATACTCAAACCCCTAATTTGCACGATGATCGGCCTAATCGTTACGTAATTGTCAAACTAAATTTATGGGTATCCGAGTACCCATAAATACAATGTACAAAATACAGTAGGTGTGACACCTTTTATAAAAGGGGTATATTTATCAGCTAGTACCTATGCGTAGATGTTGTGAGATCGTTGATCATAACGACAAAAAGTACAGGGCCGAGCTTTATTTTTTAAGCTTTTTTATTATTATTTTTTAAAACTTTATTCACTCAGCGAAAAACGAAAATTATATATAAAATGAAATGTTTTAAAAAATAATCAAAAATTAAATCCATATATAATAATGATGATGATTACGCTAATTAAATACAGATAAATAAAAAAAGAACATAAATATATAGAAATACTTTCACCTGCCCATCCATACATCCATCCATACATACTACACGTATACATGCTTGTGGACATTTTAACACGTTATGTATGGTATTGAAATGTGTTTCCATTTTGTAATAAACCTATCTTCTTTATCTGTCTTTATAGCAATGTATTTTTTTACTTTCTTCTTCTGACTAAGAATATCGGTCAGAACACCGACAGGATGAGCCCACGCTCGGCTGTCACCTTGATTGGATAGTAAACGCTTGTCGTAAAATCGCAATATGATTTTAAAAACCGGGTGCATAAATTTGAAAACCACCTAGAACAACCTTAGACTGCCACATTAATCTAATACAATGCAAAAAAGCCCTATCAAAAGTGGTTAAAGCATTCAAACCGAATGTCGTGAAGTCCCCATATACCCCCATAGAGATAATACAATAGAGTACTCTAAAGTAAGAGTACAGTCTAAGGTTGTTCTAGGTGGTTTTCAAATGTAAAAATCATATAGCGATTTTACGACAATCGTTTACTATCCAATCAAGGTGGCAGCCGAGCTTGGATGAGCCCGCGGTCGTCCTACAAAATTTGTTTTGGGATATGATTCTCCGAAATGCGATCTGACACACGTGAAAACGGGTAGTGTACGTGGTCCGATATACCGGTTAATTCAGGATCCCTTATGCGCCGAGTCTGGTAGTTGGATAGGCCTGGTATTTTAACTTCTCGATATCACGTCAAATATAACAGTATTTTATTCTCTATGCCGTCAGGAGAATCGTGTACCTTAATGCTACATTGTACCTACGTTAACTTTATTATACTCAAGGAATGACCCTTGCCTCGTAATTCTCATGTCGAAAACTGAAGATGACAATCTTAAGCCATTTTTCTTTCGTGTTTAGCACAAGTATCATCAGAAAAGCTCTTTGAATTATTTCGCTTCCCATCATTCTTACATTGTGTCTTGTTCATACATACATGTACATATGTCTACGCTTATGTTGTTTTTCTTTTGCATTTTATTTTCTTTTTCATTACTCACCCTACAGTTTGTATTTGGTAGGGTGCATTGGCACCCCAACCTTCTATAATTACATCTTTGTTTTCACTTAATTTTCATTATGTTATTTAATTTGTTAAATTTTGCCGCGTAATTATTGAAAAGCATCATTTTGCAACCGGTTGCAAAGTGCGTTTGTTGCAAAATGCGGCACTGCTTAATACAAACTGGTTTGAGCAGGTTAGAAGACCAGACGGCCTCTGAAGAAGCAACTGTATACAGCAAAACATAGTCGTCTGTTTCTCAAATGAATTGGTTACCATGACCGTTTCTGGGTGGAACACTGGAACCGCGGGGCTCTCTCTTTATTGAGGTCAGATTTTACCTGTACCGCTCAACTAGTCAAAGCAAAGTTTACAGACATCCTGAAGAGGCTTACGCCAAAGCGTTTGCCGCGTTTAAAGTGACTAGGTCATTGACAGCGTCAGTAT